GAGTCCAACACAGACCAACAAAAATGTTTAGGGGCCTGGGAGACCAGAATTATGAGGAAAGGCTGAAAGAACTTGGGCTATTTAGTCTGGAGAAGAGAAGACTGAGGGGAGATTTGATAACAGTCTTCAAATACCTGAAGGATGATTAAAGAGAGGATAGAAATGAGCTTTTTTTTTTTTTTTTTGTAGCCATGGGGATATGACAAGCCACAACAGCCACAAACTGCAGCAGGGGAAATTTAGGTTGGAAATTAGGTGGAATTTTCAGATTATGAGGGTGGTCAAATGTTGGAACAAGCTACCATCAGTTGGGGAGCAGGAGCAGAGGGAGCAGGGTGCACGTGTGCTACACGTGTACCCACCTTACCTCAGCAGCGAAGGCAGCAGCTCTGGAGGAGACAGCAGCGGGGGCAGCAACTACTGATTTCCCACTAAGGTAAGTGGGGCAGAGGGTACAGCGCAGTTGAGGCGGATCCGGAGGGGAAGCCCTCTGGAGCCCTCTTAGCTCGCACGACAGGGAGCCAAACTCCTGAGCCGCGCGCGGGTGGCGTGCGCGAACAGTGCGTGCAAACAGGCATGCTCTGTGCAGGCGCACCGGTGTTTGCACCGGCGTTCATGTAAGGCAGGCACGAGGTAGCTGCCCTGAGCAGCACCTCCAGTGAGCAAAAGCAGCAGGCGCAGCTCTGCAGACATAATGCAGATGCAGAACACTGCTGCCAGAGGCCCTGCCTGGGCGCTGCCACCTGCCATGGCTCTTCTGAGGCCTCCACCCAGATAGAGCTCATGGCGGAGTCAGTGGCCCCTTGCCCCCCTGTCTGTGGGGGGGTCTCGGTGGGGTCCTGGGGGGGTGGGACCTGGTGGTCCCCTTGCCTGTCCCTCCTGTGCATGACTTAGGGCCCTGGAGGAGCAGGTGAGGGAGCTCCAGGCTGAGGTAAGCAGGCTGAGGGGCATAAGGGATGCAGAGGATGAAACTGATGCCTATTTCTGTTCTCTGCAGGCCCGGTCGCCCACTGTACAGCCCCC